TGTCAATTTTGGTTGATTATGCAGAAGAAGAATTAAGACCATGTATATTATTTTTATTTGGCCATGACCTATGGTGGCAGAAGAAGCCAGGTATAAAGAGCAACGACATCCACGTGGTGGGGTGCATGGATGTAAGTAAACTAAGGACTTTCACTCAGGAGACAGAGGTTTAGGTCCCGTGTGAAAGTCAAAGTTGACATATTTGTAATGTAAATAGTGTTTTGTAGATGACTTATGTCCCCAAACTTTTCCTAAACCTAACCAAACTACCACCGTTTCACAATGTGGAGTATCCTCACTTTACTGTGTAGTATTCTCACTTTACTGTGTGGTATCCTCACTTTACTGTGGAGTTTACCATGTGTTGATGTCATGTGATGTGGGTTATATGACTTACGTGAGTACTTAAGGTCTGCTATGCGTGTTGCTGGACTGGTAATTGCCAACACTGGTACATTTTGCTTTGGGGAACTGTTAAATATGTCGTTTTGGAACAATTGACAATCGACCAATTTTGTTGTTTAGGTATGAGCACGTGTTTAATATAGAATGCATTTAATGCAAGTAAATCCACATTAACCTCATTAAAGTTGAATCAGATTTTATTGATATTTATTACTGTATCATTTTAAGACAGCACAACACATATGTCAAAAATTAAACTAGAAGTAACACAGTTGAAAGCAGACCATAACCCCTTAATGACGATTGCCACAAATTCGCATCATACCGCTTCCTTTTAGACTGCAGCCAAGTATTTCACTAATGCCTGTTTGTACATATTCGATACGTACCTAGGAACCTTTTGGCCAACATTGGTTTTCCCCTTTATGCCTGTTGTCGCTAATTTGCATCATACCTACATCATACCTGTACCATATTTATATCTATTCTTTAGACAAATTAACAATCACCACTTAATTTAGCATCCGCTTGAAAGCAAATGAAAACAAAAATAATACATTTTCTTATATAAAATTGTTAATAAATTGAGGCAATGGGTTAAGTCCACAAATTTCTGTAAATCACCATTAATGGTCACACGTGGAAACTGAAATGAAAATCCATTCATTGAGTAAAAAATTTTTCAATCAAATTTGCTCCCTAGTTTAACAAATTCCAGCTATTGCACCTTGACTACGTCTTCTGTCAGTTTAGTGTGTCAGTTAAAGCATGTCAAAAGATGAGACACGACCCAAAGTGTGTTTTACTTTAAGTTGAATTGTTTTCTTTGTCAAGGAGGATGCCTATAGTTTCGTCTTCTTCCCGTCATCTCAGTTTGAACCCTGCCTTTGAACTCAACTCTCTCTCAACAGAACAGTCAGGCTAATTTTTTAAGACTAGGACAAATCGTGCACCATCCCTCAAAGGTTTGTCAAAATCAAAACTGAAATACCACCTGAGATTTGATGGATGCCTGATGTCAGTGGATGGAGAACATGAATCAGGTAATGTGCAGCCTCTCTTCAGTAGCCGTGGCCCTGTGGTTTCATCATCCATGCTGTTCAACATTTAACATGATCGTCCATCACATGACAGTCCATGCCTCAGTCTGATTTGAATCAAACCATTCCTGATGCCTGACCCTCTCCTCAGTCATTTAATATCTTTGTCAAAAGCAGAGCCCAGCAGGGACCAGGATGAACTTAACGATATGGTTAATTAGCCACAAAAGTGAACAAATGCTCGCTGACAATGAGCGTGTCTCATTTTATCTGATCTGACAGGGCTCAGCTAAAGAGCAGAAGCTGCAATATAGGCCTAAAATAAAGTGTACACCTGCTACCACAGAACAGAAATCTAACAGATTCAAAGACCTGAAGTTTTACAGAATAAAAACAGATTATCAAAATTCATGGTTCGTCCTTTTTTTAGTTAATGCGTCCAGTTACAGTTTTACCATGCAATGTTTTTCCGGTAATAAGTTATCTGTCTTTTTAACGTTTAAATCATTATCAAGAGCATCTCTCAAAATTATCCTTCGTCAAAATAATCCTTAGTTTGTTGCAGCTGCAGAGCACTGAGAGCCCTTACATCTGCTCCACTCACTGATAATTCCGAACATAAAAGTACAATACAAACATTATCCTAAACAACAGAGAGTGCCCACTCTACCAAAAGCAAACTGAAATCACCAACAAAAGCAGAACCTCTTCACTGTACCAGACAGTTTTAGCAACATCTCATTGAATGATTTGTGGTTACTCTTCCAATTTTAAATAGGTAGCTCCTGTTCTACATTCTGGTCTGCAAATGTAGTGAACAACTTGGATACTTCCCATTTGCAGAGACCGTGACCTTAGTGTTGAGTGTAGTTGCTTTTATGAGGAAACATTGTATCAGGACACTAGAATATGTAGTGATTATCAGCATATCAAGTGGAAATGTAGTTTCTCCTACAATAAAGTATTGGCAAAACTGCTATCACATATTTTCTATTACAATGCTACAATTTCTCAGTGTGGATGTTTTGCCTTGACATTGTGAGAAAACTTGACACATGAATATATTAGAGATATTATGTTAGTAATGATCTTTAGGCAGTGTCTTACCAGAAGTACTTTGGGATATCACATTTGAAAAGGGTGGTTAATACTTTTTAGCGTGAAATGGGGCAGTAAGCTTACAGAAATATAAATAACTAAAATAACCAAACATGTCTTGTTATACCATAGCCACTGGAAATTCTGGACCCTGATTAGCTGAAAAGTGTGGATTAACTTTTAGTAACAACTGTACAACCTGTGATGCAGTTGTTTCTTTACAGTTCTAATTTCATGTGTCAGTATTGAACTGTAGGTAAAGACAGCAACAATGAGACAAAGAGCTGGTGCAATTTGTGCAACCAATACAAATTTAACAGCTGCACATTGAGAACCGCCAAAATGAATATGAAAATATGTTATATATATATATATACATATATATATATATATATTATGATAAATGTGTGAATTTGGAGGTTGGTGGGAGGAAAGACAAGACTTTTGAAATAAAAAGAGGTGTGGAGAAGATACAGGTTTAGGACTGAGGGGAGAGGGAGGCAGCTCTACTCTCTGTTCTTGAGGTTTAAAGGAAAATTTTTTTCTCTCTCTACCAATCTCTTGCCAGGACTGAAACATTCTGGGCCCTCCTCATGAACTCCTTCTTTTTTTAACTTGATGTTGCCTCACAATGCAAATAGTAGAAATTCTGAGTCCCAGAATTTTTTTAAATGTCTCAACTGTTGCATTATTCATTACATTCATAGAACATACTGTATAAGTGTTTCTTATTATCCCTTACAAATACAACAATTTATATGTGAGTCCAGTATTTCTGTGCATCAAGTCTGATGGTTGCCTGACAACCTCACAGTGATGACAAGACTCAGAGGTACACTTGGGCTTTGTTTGCCAAGAAATATTGACAGCACGTACCCTCCTCCAGAAAACAAATTGTCAGTAATGAAAAGGCTTTTACACAACTGTCTAATAAAACAAACAAGATATAATGATATTTAGGGTTTTTGGTAGGTGTTTTTTTAAACTGTGAACAAAACCAGTTGGTTCCCTGACTTTCAGTCTTTATGTTAAGATAGACTAATCACCTTGTAGCTCCAGCTACATACTTAACACCCAGACATGAGAGTGGTATTGCTTTTTTCGTAGCTTTTATTTACAATTTGTGTTGTCCAAATCCTTAATTTGGACAACGGAACTGTGTAAAACAATAAAGCAGCATGCTTGGTTTGATAATGTAGCTTCACTTGTTGTTGTTGGACTTTGTCACCTCTGTTGCCAGAATGTAAATGACTACAAATGTTTATGTCACATTCATCGAACAAAACACTTCATCTTCACTTGAATCATTGATCGTCGTCATTAAGCATATGCAGCCTGGGGTACCAGGCTCATATTGCTCAAATAATTACATCCTAACAACAAGACTGTATATCACACATGGGGAGAATTTTAACTGCTTTTAAATTGTCAACGTGATGTTTCTCTTACTACAAGGTAAAAAAAAAAGGGTCCCATCAAAACAAAAGAGAGTTTTTCATGAGGACTTGTGACACTACACATCAGCTAGTTTTGAGCCTGTAAGACTCACACACCCAACTTGCTCTCTCTGGCCTTCATCGAACTTGTAGGAAACACTTGCACTCACACCTAAGGACAATTTAAGGTCAGTAATCAACCTACTCCGCATGTCTTTGGATGGTGGGAGGAAGCTGGTGCACCTGGAGAGAACCCACGCAGACAACATGCAAACTCCACACATAAAGGCCGGGGCAACCGGGGTTTGATCCCACGACCTTGTTGCTGTGAGGTGACACTACCGTGCTGCCCCAAAAAGGAAGTTTGTTCAGCGTTATTACCAACCATATTTATGTTTATTGTGGCAGTGACCTCCAGTGGTCACATGACGGACATATCATAAATAGGGGTAAACTAAGGAGGTGGATGGGTCAAACCCAGGACTTTGACACAGAAGAATGGCATTTGAGTCTCATGTGAAACCAAGTCAGTTATTTAGATTTTTATGTTAAATAGTGTTACGTGACTTATGTAATTGAGGCTACTAATTTGAACCCAAACCATGATGTTTTCCTAAACCTGACAAAGTTCAGTTTTGTTACCTTACCAAACTACGACTGTTTCACAATGTTAACAAAGTGTTTAATGTCAAGTGACTTGTGTCACGTGACTTACGCAATGCAGTTGAGGTCCGGTCACCTGTCGCTGGATAGTTACGCAAAATGCTAATATGTATCATTTTGGGAGGCATGGACAAACAACATTTTGTCAGTTAGGTTGGAGGACTTGTTGGTGGACAACCTAAGCGACTAATAAGACTCACTTCCCTCTAGCTAAATCTATTATAACCTGTAGATATGATCACGATGTTTGAACTTAGCAGGCCTCCAATATGCTGCTCTGCTGTTTCTTCAGGTTAACTCCTGGGATTCTGGGAAGCTGACACAGATACACAGATAATAACCACCATAAGACCTCCTGTCTTTTTTGGTTTACATTTTATTTGACAAGACAATGATCTGTAAAACATGTACAATAGTTTTCCCAAAAAGCATACAAAATGATAATCGATCTGTGATAAACAAAATAAATGAAAGAAAATCAATAAACACAAAAATGATCATCTCCAGTGTGTTTATTTTTTTTAGCATTGCCATCATCAATGTCAAACCCATCCCGTGTTTGTGTGTTTCCCGCTTTCATCATACGTTCTACTGTCAGATGAGAAGTGTGAGAATTGAAAAGCTAAAAATAACACAAAGAAGGCACGTCTGGCTCCGTGATGAAAAGCTGTGATGACAATGGATGAGCGAGAGAGAACGGGGGGGTGGGGGCAAACGGATTCAGACCGAACAGCGTTATCGTCGACATTCACAGCTTGTGTTTCTGGCATCGAAACCCGTAACGGGGAGCGGGGAGACGGAGCAAAGCACCTTGGCCGAAATGCAACGCTGCAGCTCTCACAGAAGGGACGGGCCCAGAGCCTTGAGCATACAGCTAATCCATCTAAAATCACAGCAGTTCCACCACATCAACCCCTTAACTGTTGACTCGTGCTTTTGGGCAAATACTGAAAAGTCGGAGTTTGAGCTAATATTTCTTTGCAATTTCCATTTTAGGAGGCGACTTCATGACTGTATTCCTGGTGGTGTCAAGATCTTAATTTGAGATACCTCAGAATGAAACAACTCTATTAGAAGGCTCTAGGTAAAACTGAATGATCCTCGAAATGAGACGGCAGAGCTTAAACTTATTACTGAATGCTTGCTGAGTCATTGGTCTCTGATATAATGGGCCCCAATGATTGTCTTTTCCCTTTTGCTCAATCTATCAACAGCAGCCTTCTGGCAAACACATTATACACATTAATCCACAGCAAACTAAATATTCATTCATTTTAGGAAATGAATTTACAGACAAAAAGCAAAACCATCACATTTAATTCACTTTCATGACAGCTTTTGTTCTGCGGCAGGGCTATTAAATACATCATACGTGATTGTCTGACACACGCACCATATAAGCGAATCAAAAAGCCACACTCTTGTCATGGCGGCTCTTCTTGCAAAACAGGGAAGCTTTTATCTTATAGGTCCATGCAGCATGCAGACATTCCCTTTAATCAAAATAAAGAATCTCAGACACAAAAAGCAGACATAAAAAAGAAATGTTTACGCCTTTAGCTATTGTAGAAGCCCCTGTTTATCCTGCAGCTGTACTGAATTTAAATTGCAGATTGATTTGTTATAGATGGAAACAAAATATTGCAACTAAACTTACTAATCAATTTCCACACCATAAATCAGTTATGTTAAAAATTGTCTTTCAGGATGGTGTAGCAGTATTTCAGTTAGCATGCAGCAAAAAAAGGTACTTTAATAATAACTACAAACAAAAACAAAAGCATCTCCACCAAAGCTAGTGACGGTTAAATATTAACAGATGATTGTCATACAGTACGTTAGAAAAACTAAAATATTGCATTTGGTGCTGACCTTGCTGAAGGTCAAAGCTGTGATGAGAAATGTCTGTTTTCTTCCCGTGATCTTTTCAGTCCTCTATTTCCTCCCTGTTATGTTACTAGTACAATCTGGTATTATTTCTCCATGTATGTGTCTCTCCTCCTGTTTAAATCTCAATCTGCAAACTCTATCAACTTTTATAACTCTTTGCAAACTGTCATCCACCACCTGACTATGTGCTCCTGTGGTTGATTTTAACTGGCTCGGTCAGCTACAGCCTGTCGTCCAACATTCGGGATTTGTGTGCCTCAATGTCTCAAGCATGGGCTCAAGATTAGAGGAGAGAAAAGATTGTATCTCTGTGTGTACTGCACTCTGTGGTTGTGAGATGACGATTCCATGCTGACAGCATTTTCGGATTAGCACTAAAGACAAAACCAGGCAGCCTGCCGAGCTGTCACGCGACAAAAAAAATCCCGCTCTCTCAACTTAAATTGGACGTTGTGCTCGTGGTCTGCATGACTGTGAAAGATGCATTGAGACAGAGATAAAAAAAAAAACAGCTTTCTTTTTTGACATTCAAAAACGTTTTTTACAAATGAAGAACATTATTCCGCAAACAGCCTTGCGAAAGTGTGTCAACAAGCCACCGATCATGCCATGCAGAGTAATATGAACAAGGAGTAAAATCCACACCATTTCATTTATTTTAATATATTTAAATAAAACATTTTAGTATTAAGCGACGACCTCAATGTACCCGTGAAAAGTAAAATAGTAATATACACTTTTTTAAATCGTTCAATTTGACATTTAACAAACTTCCATCCCTTGTACAGAGGCACTGATAACACCTACACTTGTTTATTTTTTTATGTGTACACATTTCACCAACAATATATTATTCATCAATATTATCAATACTATTTACACTGTTTGTTTATCATTTGGTACCATCTGACATCTGTGAAGACCAATTTTTGATTCAGCCAGGTATAGTTGCTCACCTTTTCTCTCTTTCATGTGGACAATCGGCTAAAATGCTAAATGCATGTTTTCTGCATATATAAAATGTTCTGCATATATCAGTGTGTGACCATTTTAATCTGTTAAAATGGCTGTAATGGCAGTATTTTTCTAATATATACAGAACATTTTCACTCTCTGATGAAACATTACTTATGTTTCCTCAACCCTAATAGTGTGATTTATAAGTGGAGTGGAGGACTGAATGCAAACATTGGTGTTTTTGTGTGTGAGTGCGTGCACATGTAAGAACCCTGTGGTGTGTGTGCTTTGCTGTAAACTGAGTTTCATCTCCCCAACACACAGCCTTACCACCTCTTGCAATTAACAACTGCAAATATGAATCATGGAATCTTAATCATGTAATGTTGCCAGGTTACGGAGCTTCAAAACTATGTCACGTCCCCTTCGTTAGTGCTAACGAGCAGCTCTGCACCCTGACAGTTGCTGCAGTCCAGGGACAGATGAGGCCCTTTGACAACATAATAAAGTGGAATATTTCTTCATTGGAGTGTAGCCTGGGCAGGAGTGTTTTTTTTTTTTTAGAGTAATTGTATGAATCGATAAATAACTGAAATACTTTCAAACATCTCTAGTGATTAATTGAAGCAGCCCGGAGAGCCAGATGATCAGGCTTTGGACTTCCTGGGACCAAATTCATCTGTGTGTAATTCAAACCCAACCAACTGTGGAAGAAGAGTAATTTCAAAGGATTTCAAAGATAGTATTTTTTATTACTTTCTCTGTAGCACAGGGCTGCAAAAGAAGCCTGATGTTTTATCCTTACATAGAGAGGAAAATATGTTCAAATCACTTTCCACGGCTGTAAACAGAAGAGCCCAGGACCGGCAGCCTCACATATAACAACAATTTTGCGATGGGGACATTGTATGTTTATGGCACAAAATGTTGCATATAATATTTCATAGTGAATCCACTGAAAATGCTATTGTCTTGCTGTTTTTTGGTGGAAATTTTGATTTGCAAGCATCACACAGGCAGTGCGCTGTGTATTAATTAGCTGAGGGGAGTGTTCCAGTTCACCTACATTGCAACACCTCTCAACCATGTTATTAACATATTGCAAAAGCCCACCTTTCAATGGCTATCTGGCTTGTCAGATATCATGAAATACTGTGTTTGTGCATCTTAAATTGCTTAAACTTTGATATTTTGTACTTTATTTTTGGTTTTCTTTACCAGATATTTGAAATGTAATGATGATTAAAACTCTATATGACACTTGCAAGAGTTTGGGGGGAAAAAACGTTCCTATTCCTCAGTAGACACAAGTGGCTCACCAGAAATTAAAACACCAATAAGAACTTGTTTTCATGGGGAGATGTACAAACATTTTAACCCATAACACCCCCTAAATGTGCCTGGTAAAGAAAAACTCAGCCAGATGCATAATGTCATATGTAGGATAAAACTTTAAATATTTAAAAAGTTGTACATTGGAAGGGATTTCTAGTGTGGAAACAACTGTGCTTGCCTTCGCTTTCCATGCAAATTTAGGTGACCTGGAACTTGCCCATAAGCCTGTGATGTAGTGCTGTGGTTGCCACGGCTAAACATACATGGCGGGAGATACAAAGCTCTCGCCGCGAGAGATGTTGGCAGCCGGTGGCTCGCGATTAGACAAATCTAAGTCGTTGTTGTGGTGACTGTCGGCGTGGTCTTTGAGTTCGTTGATGTTGTCGTATTTGGCCGAGTCTTCTAGGACTGGTGGGGCACCGCCGTTCAGGGCTCCAGTGGTCTCATCATCCAGGTTCTGCAAGATTCAACAGATTTCATACATGTTTATAGGGAATACAAATCATATTACATTAAATTCAATTATATTAATCTGATCACAGGAAGACTAGACAAAAACTCACCTTACCTGATAGTATAAAACACATTTCATACCAGGAGAATTATAGGATATAAAGAAATGTGCAAACCCTTTCATTTTTAAGTTAAAGTTACACAACAATACCATTTTAGGTTTAGTAACTATATACAGCTTAATATTAATATACTTTGATTGATTGGTACAAAGCAGAAAACACCATGACATCGCTGCAACGCAGTGTGTGGCTGTCCAAACAGATCTGGAGCCCACTGTGACTAAATGTGGCTCGTGTGCCAGTGAGCAAAAATATGCTTTTGCGTTTGTGTGTGAGTTACCGTGACAGGCTCTCCCCCTGTGGGCTCGTAGTAAACCTCTCCTGGGCTGAGAGGTGCTGTCTCTGTGGCCGTGGGAGGCTCTGATGGCTTGTTCAGCTGCTTGGACAGAAACCACATTAACACCGGGACAGTAACAACATAGAAAACAACACAACATCAAAGAGCTGAGAAGAGAAGCACTTGAAACAAAGAATAAAATGTACTGTTTAGAATATGTGTTTTATTTACATAGTATATGTACATTTATATATCTGTGGTGACTACAGCATTAATATATTTAGGCACTGGCACTAGCAGCACTTGGTCAAGGTTAGGGAAATATCATGGTCTGGTTTAACAGAAAAAGTCCACAGTGACTTGACACACAGCATGTTTAAACAAATTTTTTCTCTAACCTTAACCAAAGTGATTTTGCTGCCTAAAGCTAACAACATGCAGGACGCTCTCTTGAGTGACCACCACTCTCCACCCTCACCATGTCCCTGCAAGCCCCCAATTTAGCACTATAGACACATAACTTGTGGGAGACTAGCCTATATTTAATTCAAGGGACTAGATCTCAGATATATATTTAAAAAACATATTAACAGCTTTGAAAGCAAAACTCATTTTAATATACTGCTTTCAGAGATCTGAAGAATTGCAATAGACTTCAACTTGCCCTGAAAGGTTAGATACTTGGTAATTTTTTTTTTGTTTTCACCATGTTCCACTGCTTTCTAAGACATCTAATAAACTTTCACTGCTGAACCCTGTGAACCCCATTTAAGCCTGGGCATTTACAGGCGTTTAGACATCTTTTATACATCTAATCCAAATAAAACTGCAGAGTTTTAGTCTCATTACATCATGTGGCACAAGCACAACAAAATGTGATAGAATGATGGAATAAAATGAGTGGAGAGGGGAGGAGGAGAGGAGAAGAGCGCTCTAATGGACCTCTTTACAAACCAAGCTAATTATTTCGACACATAAGCCAACTCAGATCTCCAATCAATAGCCATTAGCCCCATTATAACTGCCCAAATGGACTCTGTGTGTTTGTATGTGTGTAGAATGTAATCATTGTGACAATAAAGATTGATTTGAAGCCATGTCGACCACTCACCATTTCTGTGGAGCTGCCTGCCTTAACAGGGGGAGGGGGCTTGTGCTTTGGAGGGCCCCTGATTGGAGAAAAGAGAAAAGATAATACTGTATTGATCGCTGCTTCGTTAAAACATCAGATTTCTTTGTACTAAACAAAGAAACAAGTTGGGCAACTGAGAGTGCACAGAAATAGAAAGGCTCTAAGTATTGAGCTCTAAGGACATCCCATTGTGCTGTAATTCAATCTGGATTCTATTATTACATCTATCAATTCCAAAATCAAGTATTTTCAATTAGAGTGATGAAATTATATGTGTTTCTCTATGTTGTTACAGTGTTTTCACACAGTAAGTCAGAAGCAGTGCTTAGTCTGTGGGTTTGTATTTGTAATGGCAGAGAAATATTTTTTTATGTTTTTTTATCAGAGCTTGTATGCTGCTATCTACAGAGTGTTGTAAGTGCAGTTTAGACATTACCTACCATACAGTTGCCCCTTTGTAAGGTTATAAAACCAAAACAAGTTATAAAGAGGCTGAAAGCTCTGTAGAGCTGCTGAGTTCCTAAAATTCTGTGCGACTTTGGCACTTTAGAAGTTAAAGTTGACAGGTAAGTTGGGAAATCCATCCCATAAAACCCATTTTAGACAAATAAGTAGGTGTTCTGCTTTATATTTTAAGATTAGGATTTCATTATTGATATAATAAAAATAATGCAGATGCTGGTTTTATCTGTCAATTAAAGTTTTGAATGTACTGCTCACATTTTTGTGTCCGTGCTAGCTTCTCTCAAGCTTAAAATTAGCTCTCAGGAGTTAGTGCCAGCCTCTTCCAACGAAATGTTTTTGAGCTTTAAAAAAATCCCTAATATCTTTCTTACTGCAGCTCGTATGGCATGCTGTATCCTCAGTGTGAACTCTACAACACTGGCAACAGTGGGAACCACGTGGACTAGCGGTGCTGGAAACAAATAATGGTTTGAGGCTTTAATTAATGTAATTTCCCAGTAATTTGTGTTCAAAACAGAGGTCGGGGTCATTTTATGAAATATTATGAGACTCGCTTACAAACCAAAGGCCATTTATAAAACACACATATGATTTGACCATGTACTTTGCAATCATAATTTCTGGTTGCTTGTAATTTTGGTAATAATCATAAAATCTATCTTTTTCTACTGGTGCATCACTGTAAGTGGCTGCACTTTAAAGCATCAGAAACATGTCTGCAACGTTCAGTAGCCGTGAATATAACTAACCTCTCTGACTCTCTGAGTAGGCAGGAAATAATGACTGTATATTTTGTTAATTTACTGGATACCCTGTTGTTCCACAAGAATTCTCAGTTTGGAAAATCACCTCTTAAACTGGAATTAAAACAGGGAAGATTTAATTAATTCCTCTTTACAGTGGTAGCCCAGGGGAGGAACAGCAAGGATACATTTTGGGAATAAAATTTCCAATAGCCTCACGCTATAAACTTTATGTCAGGATTTGTGACCAGGCTACCTATGGCTCCCCTCATGACAAGTAATAGGTTTTAATGAGCTTTAGTCCTGGAGGGGGAGATTAATTTTGCTCAGGAGGTTAAATAAACGATGAAGTTGATACAGGACTGCTAATGAAGACTTACTCTCCATCCTGGCGCTTACGGAAGAAGAAGATGATGATGCCACTGATAATGCCGATGAAGACGAGTGCGCCGAGGATGCCGCCGATAACGGCACCTGTCGATGGTCCTGGAGTGATTTTTCTCTTCTCTTCTTGTATAGGTGAAAGACACAGAGAAGAAAAACAGAGAGAAAGAGAGAGACTTTTACTACCAGCTAATACATTTAATTTGACTGTTTCTGGCACTTTATTGTTGCTTGCTTGCAACATTTGTATTTTTATGTGTTTGTGTGAGAGAAAGTAGTCTGTGGCTCTGAAAGTCAGCAATGTTTCATTATTAACTGTAGCCAAGAAATATATATGGAATGTATATGTAAAACAAACACATAAAAACAAGCAGTTTGGTTTTAATGAAATATGAGTAAAATGAACCACCACAAGAAATTCCGATGGTAATGGTAATGTGGAAGCAGGCAAAAGTCAAATTTCTATTCAGTGTCAGCACTGTATGCCTTATTATGGTGTAACATTGAAGCACATTCACATAAGCATAAGAACTCAATATGAGTTCTTGTAAAATAAAAGAGCCTCAAAGCTCTCTGTTGTAGGCCTACACTCATCACGCTATCACTCATGAATACTATAAATCTTTGCAATGCAGCCACACATCAGCAGTCTCACGCTGACCTTGACATCTCCTTTCAATTAAGAGCCTGTTTATGACTTCTGGAGGGTGGTGAGGCATCTAAATTGACTGTAAAAGCCTCTCATTACAGTAGTGCTTTTATTTTAAAGAGTGAAAAAAGACAGCAGCTGCACATAGCACACAACAAGCACCATGGATGGTTCTGCACAATCGTTGACTATAACAGGGAAACAACAAAGGGAGGGTTGAATGACTTTCACAGGTTGTCCTTTTGTTTTATGAAATCGCATTTCATTACTACCTCTGAAGTAAAACCACTCCACTGCGTTTGATACAAACATTATAAAAGGTTCCACTAATTTAGCTTTAATACATTTAGCCGATGATTATTTACCTACAAATGAAGCCAATGTTTGCTGCTGCTGCCATAAAAAATTGCAGCTCTTGAAACACAATTAAATGCAACTCTATAAATTTAAAAACAATTTTGCATTATTCAAGGACTTGCTTTCTTTCTTCACCGTTCCAAAGATCCATCTGCTAAGTTCGCATCCGTTACTGCCCTATTCTTAGGCCAAAGAAACATTGGCCTGGAGGGACCAGAACAAGAAACATCTGGATGCAAACATGCATTATACAAACAAAACAAAAAAGGTTGAGACTACCCCAAATTAATCTTTCTACCAAAGAAATAGTCAATAGCAAGGTCTGGGGGTTGTCCAGTTTAGGTGAGACTGTTTCTAGAAAGATAAGTATGTTTGAGTGCTTCAGATGTCATCATTTTGATTCTTTGAACATCCAAAATGAAATTCCATTAACCTCTGTTACATTGGGGTGGCTGCAGAGGTTTTAGAGGCTTATAAATATATAAGTAAATATATTTTAAAAATAAAAGTATAGATATATAATGGCTAGATACTACGAGGGATTAGTGAGAAAGTATAGGTAACTTGGAAAGGTGATATTGGATCAATGAGTGTGACATCAGATCAAGTTAAGAGTGACTGCATTGCCTTCTTCTTGCCAGCAGGTGGGGTTCTGCTCCAAGCTTACACAGCCTTCAAGGAGAGAGAGAGAGAGAGAGAGAGACAGACAGACAGACAGACAGACAGACAGACAGACAGACAGACAGACAGAGACAGAGAAAAAGATAGATAGATAGATAGACAGAGAGACAGAGAGATAGAGATAGACAGAGTGATAGAGAGATAGAGAGAAAGATAGATAGATAGATAGATAGACAGACAGAGAGACAGAGAGATAGAGATAGACAGAGTGATAGAGAAAGATAGATAGATAGATAGACAGAGAGATAGAGAGAAAGATAGAGAGATAGATAGAGAGAAAGATAGAGAGACAAATAGAGAGAGATAGATAGAGAGATAGAGAGAAAGATAGAGAGACAGATAGAGAGATAGATAGAGAGATAGAGAGAAATATAGAGAGACAGATAGAGAGATAGATAGAGAGATAGAAAGATAGAGAGGCAAATAGAGAGAAAGATAGAGAGATAGAGAGAAAGATAGAGAGACACATAGAGAGATAGATAGAGATAGAGAGACACATAGAGAGATAGATAGAGATAGAGAGACATATAGAGAGATAGAGAGAAAGATAGATAGATAGATAGATAGATAGATAGATAGATAGATAGATAGATAGATAGATAGATAGATAGACAGATAGATAGATAGATAGACAGATAGAGAGATAGAGAGATAGAGAGATAGAGAGATAGAGAGATAGATAGAGAGATAGATAGAGAGAGAGAGAGATAGATAGAGAAAAAGAGAGAAAGATAGAGAGATAGATAGAGAGAAAGATAGAGAGATAGAGAGAAAGATAGAGAGACACATAGAGAGATAGATAGAGATAGAGAGACATATAGAGAGATAGATAGACAGAGAGATAGAGAGAAAGATAGATAGATAGATAGAGAGACAGACATACAGAGAGATAGATAGAGAGATAGAGAGATAGATAGATAGAGAGAGAGATATAGATAGAGAAAAAGAGAGAAAGATAGAGAGATAGACAGAGATAGAGAGAAAGATAGAGAGATAGATAGAAAGAGAGATAGATAGAGATATATATAGACAGAGAGAAATATAGAGAGATAGACAGAGAGATAGAGAGAAATATAGAGAGATAGATAGATAGATATACAGAAAGATAGATAGATAGATAGATAGATAGATAGACAGAGAGAAAGATAGATAGATAGTGATAGAGAGAGATAGAGATAGACAGATAGACAGATAGACAGATAGAGAGAGAGATAGACAGATAGATATGCATGCTCAGGGAGGCTCAGTGGCTTTACATATTCATGTCTGTTCATGTAAATCCACTGGGATAGGACTGGCCAGTTTCTGTGTGTGTGTGTGAGAGAGAGAGAGAGAGAGAGAGTTAGCACATCTGCCACAGTGGTCACAGACAGAAGAGAGAGCATGCATTGATTATGTATGATCACAAACACACAGCCATGAATGAGGGAGGGAAGATAAAGGGAAGGACAGAGAAAAATTAAAACAAAGGAGATGGAGGCAAAGAGAGGGGGGTAGGGAAAGATAGAGATGGGGAAAGGAGGGAGGGGAGTCAAAGAGAAGAACTAGGTAGGAAATAAAGGGGAGGGAAGCGAGGAAGGAAGGGATGGATTTAAGGATGATGATGAATTGGTTGAAAGAGAAGAGTGTGGGAATATACAATGCCAGCATGCCAGATGGAGGGAGGAGGGAGAGAATGACACCGGCTTTTCTTCACAGCTGGAGATGCTCAAGCGTCTGCCCGGTCAGAGGTGGGACCTTAGTTTGAACCAACAGTTTAACGAGTATACCAGACTTTCATTTATCTATCTTTTAAACACAGGAATGTACAAATGAAACAACTACATGCCTAACCTTAATCCCCTATTCCTAACCCAATTCTGACCTGAAACCTTAAACCAAGTCTTGACCTTCAAAAAGCTACTGAAACTTGTGGGATCCAGCATTTTGGTTCACACACAGCTGTCGGACCCCACAAGTATAGTGGAATCCCAGTTTTTGGACCCCACAAATATAGTTAAACAAGCCCACACTCAAACACACAGGCACACACACAGACACACATACAAAAGCGTATGAATTGAAGCAATGCCTACATCCCTCCCTGCGTGTGCCTTGTTAAAGTTTATACTGGCAATATTTGCCATTGAAGTTTGTGGTCAATAACAAACTGCCTTTTTAATAAACAATGAGTCATGGTGCTGCATGAGAAATGCCACACAGGCAACATGGGAGGGGTTGGGTGGGGGTAAGGAGGAGGAGGGCGGGATTAGCAGCAGGAGCAGAAACCTGATTGGTCGGAGAATGGGGTTGAAACAGTAGAGTGCACCCCAGAAGAGAAGAGAAGATGGATTACAGAAAGGAATTAGTTTCTCTGAAGTCAGATGCAAAACTGGTGTTAGCAATCTGTCCGAGAACAGAGAAAGCATCAGCCGCTAAGCTGATCAAACGCACCAGTTCTTCTCACTGCAACACTGGGTGTTGAAGTCAATTTCCATCCACCTGTTTGTGCGACTAGGTTGACTTCAGGCAGAAAGAAATCCTGAATGGAAATGACAGAAATTTGAATAAATGGATAAATACCATTTTTGTTTTACACGTTTTTACTTCGTTGTTGGAAAGGTTGGGTTGCTGATTAGGAAAAGATGCAATATTCTTTCTAATAAATAATGTCATTACAGCACGAGTTTCTACGTTTTTCGTTTTAATTTTTTTGACAGCCACCCACCCTTACATGGCTCCCCTCCACCACAAAGCCCTAAAAATAAAGAATCAAAGAGGCAGCAAATGGCATACGGTATGTGTGTGGAGAGAAATGTATTTACATAAACCTGGTTTATCACATTTATTAATAACAAAACTACTGGACAAGCACCAAACAAACCTAAGCCGTTATCACTCAGCAAACAAGATTATACAGTGCACAGGGTCATGATATGAGAGCAGAACATATTTTGAGAGAAATTAAATTTCTTCTTTTTTATATAGTGGCAATTCATAACAGAAGTTATCTCATTGCACCTTTGATACAAAACAGGTCTAGACTGTGGTCTGTAATTGTATTTCAGAGACAATTCCCAAGGAAAAACTAACAGACAGAAACCTTGAGCAGAACTTGAGTGGGTGGAAAGAGAACACACAGTAGGACATAACTATGTAAAATAATAACAATCTTAACTGGTAATATCAATAAAAATAACAAGTATAGAAATAATAATGATAATAGTAATAATAGGACTAATAATAATAATAATTGTAGCAGCGGGTGTCGGTCAAGAACATGGGGCAGTTGGTGGCTTGCAATCATAGATCCAGACTCTACAGCTCAGGAGGCAGAAATACATGCTGAAAGCGACAGAAGGAGAGAGAAAAGAGAGACTAGAAAGCACAAAACTGTGGGAAACCATGATTTTGTGGATACTCCGTTTGCGATCTGCTTTCGGGATTTTGACTGACGGTG